ACGCGAACGGAGTCGCGAGCAAAAGCTAGTGTAGGTAATGCAGGTAATAAAATTGTATTGTAAACGATTCACTACCACTTCCTAATAGTTTGAGATAATATGAACACAATGGTTCACGGATGCACTTCGAAACTTGACAAAAAAAACTGCAAATTGAAATGTCAAAAGTACCTACATAATTTTGACTGCACATTTTGACGCATCGGCTGAGCTACCGGTTGCTGTATACGGAACAACTCTTTGTGTGATCCACAAAACATTATTTCTAACCTGAATGTCATGTTTTTTTTATTTCTAGTGCTTGACTGGGATCCCACCTTATGGTAAGCAGGGATGCAATCGTTGATGGTAAGGCGCACTGGTTTATTAAGAGCCTATTCACTCTAGCATTGAATACAACTAAACTAAACTAAAAAGAAACATTGCCCCACAATAGATTTTCTCCTGCATCGTGGGTTCATCCTGCATCGTTTACCGGCATTGTCACAAACATAAACACCACATCCAGACCCGTAACAACAAGTTGTCGATTCCGTGCGGGAATCGAAGCTGAGACACCTAGCGCAGCAGCCAGTTGCCCAGCCACCGCGCCAACCATGTCAACGTTTGTTTGTAAATGCACCCACGACACTGGAGAAAGCCCTAGTGTGGGGCAAAGGAAATTTTATAGGAAATAGGTAACGACTTACTCGCGTGAATTACCTAGAAATTGAAGCCCTACTAGTTTAAAGTCCTGGAACTGGAAACAGCAGCAGAGCACACGCTGCTCATAATTAAGCACTGTTATGACCTTTTTTTATGGGATAGGTCGGCAAACGAGCAAACGCGTAACCTGATGGTTAGCAATCAGCGCCACCCATGGACACCCGCAACGACGGAGGAGTTACGAGTGCGTTGTCGACCTTTTAGGGATTAGGGATTTGGAGATTTTGGGAAAGGGAACGGATTGGGGTATGGGAAAGATTGGGCCTAACCTCACTCACACAGCGAAACACAACTCTAGTATTTCACGTCGGTTTTCTGTAAGGCCGTGGTATCACTCCGGTCGAGCCGACCCATTCATGCCGAAGCATAGCTCTCCCACACTTAAAACTAGTAGAGCTTTTCTTAGTTAATTCACTTGTAATTCGTTGTTTTCTCTATACTAAGTAAGTCTCACGATAGTTACTATTCAAAAGCAAAGTAATGTACGAAATACTCAAAATGTGACCTTAATTCAACGTTTCCAATCAAAAACGTCGAGTCATTGAATGTCTTCAATGGTAGAAGCAAAATTAAAACTAATTTATGCTAACTATAATCAAGTACCTATGCGTAGACGATACGTAATGTATTCTTATAAATTTAAAATCAACGTATGTTGAATATTTTCTTACAAAACTCTTTGTCAAATAAAGTTTAGCACTGGTGCAATGTTGAAACAAAATTTCTCCAGTACTAAATGGATTTTATTATACATAGGTACAAACATCATCATTCATTTTCAATTAGGGATATAAGGACAGGAACGGGGCGTTGCCTTCCACTCGCGCCCCAAAGAGCCAATAGACCACTACAGACGGGGCCCTATTGGGCTGTTAATCAGTCGGAGTTGCGGGGTAAGCGCGTAAGGCACCGTGGCCTCGGCCTATAGCATGAGAAGGAACAGGGGGGTTTTTAGTCAGTAAGAGTCTGACTCACCCGCCGTTCCCTGGCGAATTCATATGATGGTTTTCCCCTCTCAAAAAAGGGACAGAGAAAGATGCTTAGTTTTACACTGTGTAGTAGTGTGCTTGATGAAGGCAAAAATAAAGTCACTGTTTGAAAAGCAAGTAACTATAAGCTGCACATATCATTAGTGTGGGGCAGCCAAGCTTCAGCACGAATGGGCTAGCTCGACCGGAGTTATACCACGGCCTCATAGAAAAGCCGACGTGAAACAAAGCTGGGATTGTGTTCCACAATGTGAGTTTAGTTACCAGAGATCTAAACTCCGCCATCTCCTATCCCCAAATTACTCATAATCCGAAACGAAAATACAGGACACATGTTTTTTTATTCATATCTTAGGATGGCAAACGAGCAGACGGATTACCTGATGGTAAGCGATCGCCGTCCATGGACACCCGCTACAAAAGAGGAGTTACGAATGCGTACATGTTTTTTTTATATAATTTGTGGTATATAACAGAATAAACAGATATATCGAATTAAAGTTTGCGTACGGGAGGTCGCCATGTCACCGGTCAGTATAAAATGCAAAAAATCGTGACTTCGCACGATTTTCAATACCAGTCAATGTATAGGCGAAAGTAATTCATTTAAAAAGAAATTAAAAAGTACGTGTTCAATATTTTTAAACTCGTCAACCAGACGGACATTGAAAGAAATTAATTAAGAATCATCCCTATTGCAATCTAATGTGGTTGAAAATCGTCTGATGGTAAGCAATCGGTGCCGTGCATCCCGCAACACTAAATGAATTATGAGAGAGTTGCTATTTTATGCTTCGGCACGAATGGGTAGGCTCGACTGGTGTGATACCACGGCCTCACAGAAAACCGGCGTGAAACAACCACAGCGTCGTTGTCGCCGTGTGAGTAAGGTTACCGTATACCCAGGGGCTCCTCTTCTCTCCATCCCTTCCCAATCCTTGAACATCCAAAACCGCGCTCGTAACTCTTTTGGTGTTGCGGGTCTACATGGGCGGCGCCGATTGCTTAACATCAGCTAATCCGTCAGCTCGTTTGCTGACCTATACCATAAAAATAAAGGTTTTGAATTAGGTATTTGGCTTCATGCAGAACGAAATACGACCCGTATTCTTTGACTTAGCAGTTACGCTTACGTCTTCAAACAAACTTGTCAGACAATAAAAATAACGAGTATAGCAAAACTACGCATAAAACCCATATTAATAATGTATTAATATGTATATTACCTACACTTATAGTGAGAATAAAAATATTAACGTAAAAAAATATTCAAGAGTGCCAGTACAAGAAACGTGTTTTTTTTTTTTTGTTCAACCGTTTTTTGATTCAAAACAAACCGAATTAACTACTTATAACTACCTACTCATAAGCAAGATTATTATTAACTAAATCCACGCTTATTGTTTTCTAAAGAAATTAAATTGTTTTCATTTGGGAATAGAAAGAGAACGATATACATAATATGTAGGTATAAAGATGGATCATATCATCACACACTGACTAAAAACCACTCCATTCCTTCTCCAAGTCCGCGGTACCTACTTGCATTATTGAGCTTGACTTGAACCCGCAATAACCCCAGACCGGAGAAACACCGCCCTTGTGGACATTAGAGAATTAAGGATAAAACAACCTTAAAATCTATACTCGTAGTCGTAATTCATATAAATCGTGTTAAAATCAGTGTTTATAAACACATTCGTAAATTTTTCATTAAATTATAAGTATTAGAATTAATGGCTCATATTAAAGTAGAAGAAATAATTAAGTAGGTAAGTATTTATCGATGAAAATGCATCGAGATGATGACGTCACAAATGATATTCGGTATCCGCTTGGGGCTTGGTATCCAATAATCACTTTTTTTTGTGAGGGGAAAATCATCAAATGGCTTCTCCCGCCCAGGGTCGGACGTGAGGGAGTGTCCGACTCTTACTGACTAATAACCTCCCCGTTCCTACTCCTGCTCCGGATATCGTCTCTCGATACCCGACGCCTGGAGTGTCACCCACTGCGGCGGCTGGGTGTGAGGAGGAGGATAGCTCCCTCACGCGGTCCACCTCCTTCTTTGCGAGCATAAGTGCTTCGCAGAAAGAGGAGACGGCTTCCCAGTTCCTCACGCTCCGCACCATGGCTCGAACTTAGGCCGGTCGGGAGAGGTCGCCGCCGCCTATCACCTCCCTGAGGACGCGGCCGTTCCCAACCCAAGCAGGGCACACCGCCACCATATGCTCCACCCTATTGTCAGGGTGGTCCTCCCAATGACAGCACTCGGGCGTTTCCTGCCGCCCGATCCGAAACAGGGACGTACAGAAGCTGCCGTGCCCGGTAAGCACCTGCGTCAGGCAGGCCACTCCTCAAAGAGAGGTCTTACCGCTGCTATAATAGCGTGCCCGATAGTCAATAATCTTAATGGCACGATGAAATACAATACAATCTTTTTATTGCGTTAATACATTGTTGTCCTATATTAAATTATGAGTGTAATAAACAACTGAATCAAGCAGAATCGTTCAACTACAAGGCACGCAAAAGGTGCGCATCAATACGAGTAATAGCCACAGACAGCCATTGGTCGTTCCAACCAGCCAGTATGGAAGTCTTCACTATTTCCTACTTACTAAATCTCTGACTCGCGTATGACTTATAATACCTAATGGTTGGAAGCTTCCTATTTACCTAAATGTGTTTTTGATTACGAAAATTAAAAGCTTTGCGATTGATACCACCGATACCGGCAACCCTAGAAGAACTTAATGTTAATATCAATGGGTTAGTTATTTGGAAGCTAAAGTATGAGATTTATAAGACAAAGGTTGAGAATTTGTTTTTTTTTTCGCCCCTAAGGCTGCCAACTGACCTAGTTTTGACTTTTGAGATATCTACACGTAACTTATAAGGTGATCAGTCTGCTCGTTTCCCAAGAAATAAGCAACTCGCACTTGACCTTCCATATTCAAAAATAGATGGCAGCTCGCGCAAATCGATAACCATAGTTGGAAAAAAAAGAAAGTCAAAACGAAAGTAGGTTTGCAATCGCAAACGAGAATAAATTTTATCAAATTATAATTTAAAAATTATGATTAATGAAGAATTTTAGTATCACGTACCGTTATAAACTTGGATACAAAATTTATTATGGATAATTCCATGCAAATGGAATCGATCGATCGAAAATGCAACGCCCTGCATTGAACTTCCGTACAAAGGTCAGCGACCGGCCTTCCGAGTTAGGAAGCGAGCTAATCAATTACAATTAACACTTCACAGTCCAAATAAAACATAAAAATATATGAAAATACTTACATGCCCATTTTCCATATGCTTTGAAATTCACTTTGTTAAACTTAGGAGCAATAACGTAGGTATAAAACGGAACCAAAAACGCTTTACTTAACATATACAAACAAAATAAACACGAAGACACATTTGCTATATCCACTAGCGTGGAATTAATACGCATTCCAAGTATTTCATTATGCATTTTGACTAATTATTTTGTTATTTTCACAATAAATAAATGTAAGAGGTTAACTCGGAGAGAGCCGCACCGTCACCGTTTGACACGATTCGCGCATGCGTACTAGCGGTCGAAGAAAGTTGCCATGCGCACTGAATGAACGAGTGTGCCCGATATCGAATGAGCGAACTGAGTGGCCCGCCCGAAAATAGACGAACAACGATCAAGTTGTGCGAACGAAACAGATATAAAATATACCGCCGTCTCACTCTAGCGGATTGATAAGTACGACATTGAACGAGGGTTTGTAGGTCATCCAGATTGCAGTGTGGCGGGAATTAATATTAAGTTTATTAAACGATTTTCAAGCTAATTACTTTTGAAATACGTTACATTTTTGAATGGCAAAACTTGTAGCTACGAGAAATGTTTGCGAAGGAATGAACCCTATCCAGATAGAAAAAAAAAATTGATTAAAGGCGAGACAAAACATTCAAATATTATCTGAATCATTAAATGTTACCTGACGAATACAATTGTTGCTGTCACTGTTGCTACTTACACTAACATTCTGGACGCGACAGCATCATAATTATTATTCCTCAGATAACTTTTATTTAACCATTGAAAAATCAGGCCTAAATAGAAAAATAAGTTTAGATAGGTCTAAGGAAATGTCTCAAATGTCTTTTCGGGCGTCTCGAGTGTCGATTTGAATCGGTAAAATTGAATAGATACACAAATTAATAGCTACCTACCTACCTACGAAACTACCCTAACCTAATTTTATTAAATCTTTTACAATTAGGCAACAATGTCTCATAACTTAAAAACGAACATAATTATTAACATTAGGTACTTATATCTATTACTAATATAATAAAGAGGTAAGTAGGTTTGTAAGTACCTACCTATGTAAGTTTGTATGTCCTGGAGTAATCTTTGGAACCGCTGGTCAAATTGCCTAAATTTTTCACTGATTTTATTACAATGTTCCTGAGGGCTATAGGCTATAAAACATCACGCTAAGATCAAATGGATCCGAGCAGCGGGTGACACCGCGTGAGAGTAGCAAGTACTTAATACAATACTTGTTAGCCACTTGACTGCCGGTAGGTATACTTAAAAGACACAATAGAAAAAGCATAGTGTCTAGCGTAGCTCTTAATTATTTTTTTTACTTGCTGTAAACTAGTGCTTGACTGCGATCCCACCTGATGGTAAGCAGTGATGCAATCGTTGATGGTAAGGCGCACTAGTTTATTAAGAGCCTATTCACTCTAGCCTTGAAGACACCTACATTATATTTGGATGGAAAGACTGCAGCCGGCAAACTGTTCCAATCCCTCGATGTACGCGGTATAAATGACGAGGCAAAACGCTTAGTCCGGGCCGCAGGTGTCTCAACAACGTAAGGGTGGATATTTGCCGTACGCCGGGATGTCCGAAGGTGAAATGGGGATGGCGGAATCAAATCGTGCAATTCCTGCGCACACTCTCCAAAATGCCTCCTGTAGAAATTCTCTGAATACCACGGGTTAATAATTAATACCTAATTCTATGTGAAGTATGAATTACATATTGCTTAATAAGTGTGGAAAAGCTTGAGCGCACCGTCTCGACTGGAGTGACACTAAGGCCACAGTGAAAAACGGCGTGAAACAAAGCTTGCGTTATATTTCGCGTTGTGAGGCCCAATCCTTCTCTCCTATCCCGTCCTACCCCAAAAGACCTAATCCTCAAATTCGTTACAAGCTGCAAAACACTAGTAACTCCCCTGGTGTTGCGGGTGCGGATTACATACCTTCAAAATATCAGCTTGTTTGCCAATCAATAACAAAAAAAAAACATAAAATGTATTATTTACGTAACTGGCGACACTTCTGTTCTATTTTCCATTTATGTAAAATACACCTTCTTTAGTAAATAATAAGGTGTGTTATTAGCTAAAGCGATTTTACGTACTAGATAAACCGGTTAATAGGTCACTCGAACAATTCAAAGCGGTAACACGTGGCTGTTTTATTACCATCATTAATAATAACTATCAGTAGATTTTGTCTAATAGAAAAAAAATGTACATACCACACTAATATTTTCTCCTGTGTCGTGGGTGCGTTTACAAACATACAATTTCACATACACATCACACTCAGACCCGAAACAACAATTTGTGGTTCACAAAAAGTGTTGTTCGAATCGAAACCGTGATACGTTGCGCGGCAGCCAGTTGCCCAGCCACCGCGCCAGACTTGCAAACAACTATGTTCTAAGTACTTAGAATATAGCCGGGGCTGTGGGGCACCGCGACCTCGGCCAGATCAGGCGAAGGAACAGGTGGGTTTTTAGTCAGTAAGAGTCGGACACTCTCTCTCGCCTTACCTTGGGCGGGAGAAGTCATAAGATGATTTTCATCTGACAAAAAAAAAATACCTAGAATATAATAGTTTTCATCCAACATCGCTTTGCTTCGCGCCACGTGTCGCGGGCTCGATTCTCGCACGGAACAACTCTTTGTGTGATCTACAAATTGTTGTTCCGGGTCTGGGTGTGATGGATATGTCAAATTGTACCTAGGTACGTTTGTAAACGCGCCTACGACACAGGAGAAAATCCTAGTGTGGGGCAACGTTTTCTTAATAACGAAAATTTTAAGATTTTGATTCCAGTAGCCAAAGCTTTTTCGCGGTTAAGGGTGCAAACGCCATAAGGCACCGCGACTCCGGTCCCGAGCAGGAGACGGAACGGGGTGTTTCATAGTCAGTACAAGTCTGACAGTCACTCTCGACCCATTCAGGGCGGGAAAAGTTATTTGTTTATTTTAGGTTATAGTTTTTTTATGTAATAGACCGGCAAACGAGCAATCAGCGCCGCCCATGGATACCCGCAACGGAGGAGTTACGAGTGCGTTGCCGACCTCTTAGGGATTAGTGTTTGGAGATTAAGGGATTGGGGAGGGATCGGGGGAGGGGAAGGATTAGGCCTTCGGTAACCTCACTCACACGGCGAAATACAACGCTGTGGTTGTGTCACTCCGGTTTTCTGTGACGTAGTGGTATCACTCCAGTAAAGTTAACCCACTCGTGCCGAAGCATGGGTCTCCTATAATTCTATTGCCATGTAACTATATGCTTACTATAAACCTGTCAAATCAACATACGTAAGTACATAACAGAACTAATCCAATAATTACAGTAGCTTACACATTAATTGATTAGTGTGTATTGAATCATAATTTGATTGCAGCCAAGTGTAAGGATTTCTGATTTGGATTTGTGCGCAGTGGTACTGAATGCACACATTGATAGACTGCAAAATACTTTTTAGATGAGTACATTATAATAAAAAGATAAAAAAAAACTAAAATCCAACTACTTCAAAAACGACACACGTTACATATTTACATGTGTAACGTGTGACAACGCCTTTCAGTATTCTGAAAATCTTTTTTTATACTTTTAGCGTCGTTTTTGAAGTAGTTGGATTTTAGTTTTTTTTTATCTTTTTATTATAATGTACTCATATAAAAAGTATACCTACCTACCGTAATACTTTGACAACGTGTGACTTTATACTTTATATTATTTGTATTATTGTGGTGTTAAAGTGTATTTGTGGTGCATAATATCAACAAAAGTTAAATTGATGAACTAATGATTAGTAGTAGAAGCTATATATATAATATGTTGTCCTTGAGGTTCACTTCTTTTTCGTACTTTTTGCCTGAACATTAGTGTTACATTGTTCTCACATATCAGAACCGACTAAATGATGTAAAAAAGTAATGCATTCTAAAACTGATTAAAAAAGAGTAACCATGGAGTTTCTTGCTCGTTCTTCTCCATAGCATTCTACCCTTTGGAACGAGCAAATAGCTTCACTAGAGGACAGACGGACAGACTGACACGCTAATTTTAAAGCTCTTGTTATATACTTTTTCCTTTTTTGCTTGCTTGACGTTCAAAAGTGCCTACTGTGGTCTAATTGAAATAAATGATTTTTGACTTTTGACTTTTTTGACTATAATTGAAAAGATTTGAATAATATGCAATCAGCCTATACAAGCAAATGAAAATGTAATGAAATAGTAGTGCATATATCATATATTCAAAATATAGAAGTAAAGAGCGTTCAAATGATACCAAATACGACCTATTTATATTAACTTTATTTAGTTACTCTGAATGTTTTATCCGCTAGAGGACGCCACATTCGATTTTGTGATACTCCATGTAGCCTATAGCTAGCGGACAATTAAGCCGTTTCTAATGATATGTCATTTGTCGTATTCCGATAAGTAGTTTAGAAGTTACGAGGGGATAGATACATACATAGATACATACATAGAGAGAGAGAGAACATACATACATACATACATAGCCTGAAAAAATCACACCCTCCTTTTGCTTTGCCGTAGTCGGGTAAAAATTGCTATTTAATAAGCCTAATAAAGTCGTTACAAAGACAATTTAACTAGCAGCTCATCCAAATATAAACCACAAGTATACCAAACGTTACTATTAAATAGAAATGTCAATGCAATTCACTTGAACACCAGCAGGAGTTTCTTCGATCGTATTACAGAGTCTGCCACAAACTACTTGCTTGGGTAAGCCCAGGGCTCTATAGAAAGCGGGTATTTAACACCATTAATTCATGCCAGGGTTGCGGGATAAGCGCAATGAGGCACCGTACCCTCGGCCCAGAGCAGGAGAACGAACGGGGCACAACAATTTGTGAATAACACAAAGTGTTGTTCCGTACGGGAATCGAACCCTCGGCACGTTACACAGCAGCATGTTGCCCAGCCACTGCCCCAACCGTGCAGTTCTCATATTGTGCCTCGTAGTAAGTACTCGTAGGCGAGTACCAAAAGTGTCATTTTCCGAGTTACATTTTGTACTTTCTACATCGATCACTAATAAAGACTATCTATGATTATTTAGACACAAATGATTTAATGATTTTTTTAAAGTTTGAATTCACTAATCTGCCTTAACCAAGTGTTGCTCTGTTTGAAAAAGGGCCTTTCCTCAGTAGTAGGTACTTTTTTATTAGTTAGAGTAATAAACATTTGCATTTATAATATTAATAGAATTTCAGGAATGTCCAGTGTGGACGAATTATTATTATCAATACATTTATAAAATCCTCAATCATTTTAAAATATAAATTTTAAGGA